CCCAAAGAATTTCACACATAAAATTTTAAAGGGCAACTAAAACAATTACATTACAATGATTACTTATGTTCAAAAGACTGTCACAATCTAGGGCAGAGTGGAGATGGAAAAAAAAATAAATAGAAGTAGTTATAATTTGATGCAGATGAGTTCTTCATTCCCTGGCACAGCTCTGGTAAATGAGTAATAAATCACAAGCAAATAAAAAATAAAATAACAAAATAACACAGCTAAACCACACCACACAGAATGTCACAGTACATACTGGACAACATTAATCATCGCTAAAAGAAATATTACATCTCAGAGGCTTATGTTCTACAGACCTAGAAACCCAGAATGCTACAGTACAGTAGCTCTTTAACTTGATATCCAATGCAGTACCTTGACAGGTTAACAAGAGAATTACCCTGAGTCCCAACTTAAATAATATCACCAAAGGCTAAATTTCCCTTCCTACAACTTGAAAGCCCAAAAGTGAATGGGAATCTGTCTCGCTATTCTAAAATGTATAACCAACTAGGAAAGAACATTTTATCCTGAGGATTCCACAATTAAGGAAATGCCTATTTTAGGAAATTTGGAGAACAGAGAAAGCTCTAAAAAGGTTCAAATTACCAAGCTAGAATCTGGTGCCCAAGACTGATCATAACAAGGTCCTCTTGTCTGGCACACACTTTTCTTTCTTTTGCATGCTGTTTCCCTGTGTTGAATGTTTATCCTTTATTATGATTAACCAGAGTAATTCACCAGAAACCTCTCTTTCCTCATCTGTTTACCAGCCTGTAAGCCTGTAAATGCACTATCTGATCAAGGTCTTGGGTAGATTTACAGATACTCTCATGGATACCTTAATATAACAGTAATAGGATCAGACAATAATAGCCAAAGAATAGAAATTTGTTTTTAATTTACATTTAAAAGTGTTAACATAATCACCATCCCTTTTGTTGTTTGGAAGGCTGTTACACTGTTTTGGTACTGTAAAAGACAAGAAAATGGTTTGTTCGACAAAACAACACTGCTTAACTATTTTATTTTGATTAAAGGCTAGAGCCAGATGAACAAAGGCTATGCTAAGTATTGTATAGAGACATGAGATCATAAATGCTAACCCAGAGTGCTAAACCACTCAGTACCTTAAAAACCAGGAAAAGGTTTTAATATTTCATTCTGGCCTCCACTGGGAGCCAGTACAGAAAAATTAAGGTTGGAGTGATACAATCATAAAACTTTGTTTTAGTTCGAAGTCGTCCTTTGAGTAAATTTAGAAAAACATAGATCCACTACTGCGTTTTGAGACCCATCTGAAAAATGTGATTAAGACCTTTTTTCATTTTAGAAATGTTGCTTGCATATTTCTCAGATAAAACACTCCTCATTATGTTGCAATATGTCCCATATTTTACAGCTAGGTTTTAAACTGACACCAGACCTGGGAAACATATTTCACCTGTGCTTAAATTTCTACATTGGTTCCCTAAAAAGTCATATAGTAACAAGATCTTACATAAAATGTCTTATAAGGCTCTGAACAATCTGGCTCCATCATACATTTGTGTTTGAAATTATTATCATTGTTTTCATCATTAGAAATGTAATAGAAGCCTAGCCGTTTTAAATTTTGTTTTCAATTTACAAACTACACCCCTTTCAATAATGCTCTCCAGAGCTTAGGTTGACTGCTTACATAACTATAGAAAAAACAATCTAGGATAGCCACTGCCACCTTATTTACTTGCTGTCCAAAAACATTTACAGTACATTAAAACAAAGTACTATTCAGCTTCTTAGGGATCTGGACCTGAGTGATTTACCTATACTGCAAGTACTATTAGTCTATAAATAAACAAATTTTACACTTTAAGAAACAGCGCTGTTCTAAAAGCATGGTTCGGGGTATCTTATGATTAACCTGCTATATGTAAAGATCAGTTGTAAAACACTTTGGGATGAGAGAGAACCCATTTGATATCATTATAAATAGTAACCATTTTCATTTAATGTGTCACATTCATTAAAGTTTCAATATTGTTCTCTTTTGCATTTCAGGTGAGGTACAAAGCAAACTGCTCCTCTTTCAATACTGCTCTCCAGAACGTAAATTAAGGAAGTGTAGATTATAACAGAAAAATTATAAAAAACAATGCTTCATTTTCCCCTTCAATATTCTATGCTGCCGGCTTATATGGGATACGTTTACAAATACGTAGTGTATCTTGAGAAATGTTTATGTTTCTTTAAGAAAAGCCATCTGTAGAAAGTCTTATTTTTAGCTCACAGCCCTCATTCTAAACCTTGTCCTCTGCTCACCCTTTAATTATAGGAAGAAATATTGTTGGTTTTATTGCTCACAGATGTATGAGATGCCACTCCCAAAAACAAAGACAAGCAAATGGGACCAATCAAATTGTATGTTATGGTCAGTGGGTCTCAGATGCAAAAAAAACATTTGTAAATCTGTAAAATGCTTATTTGACTTCAGTTGGTCAAGATGTTGGAAGTACTACTTATACTGTATTTCACTAAAATTGTCTATTAGTCCTCCTATTAAATTTTTGTTTCATTCCTGCATTTTTTAACGGCTTCATCTAATTCAGGTTCTCGGGGAAGCCAGACTCTATCCAAGCTAGCAACAGACACAATGGGTACACCTTGGATGGGACACAAGACCATTGCACACACAGACACAAACACACTCACACCAGGACCTATTTTCTCAGAAGCCAATTAATCTACCAGGATGTCTTTGGAGCTGTGGGAGAAAAGCAGAGCTTTTCCAAAAACCCACAAGATGAAGGAGAGGACATACAAACTCCATACAGATAGCATCCCAAGACCAGAAATGAATCCCTTTTTCTTCTTTACATTTTTACATTTTCTTTCAAGTTACCTTTAAGCATTCTTCATTCTTGACTATTGTAGTCATAAGTCAACACTTTTAATAGACTAATTTGGTTTCCTGGTACTTATTTCTCTGCTTTTAATTACCATATATAACAGAGACATATGTTTTTTAGTTATTATCTGACTAAACTGAACTATTCTTTTCTATTTTGTATTCCCCTTGTCTGCACTGTGTTTCCTGAGTGACTGTTATGGAGAATCATTTTTTTCTGAAATGTTAAACCTGCTCTCAGTCACCACATTAAAGGCATCTAACTCCAGTTTTTTTTTGGCTTTGGCACTGATACAAGCCAGCCATGAGTAATAGTTCCTTTGTGAGCCTGTCACATGCACATTGCAATGTTACAATGACTGCTACTTCAGACTCACTCTGAGATGCATGTTTTCACACAAATGAGTCTGCTGTGGTTAGTCTGGCGATATTGCTATTACTAAAATAGTTAATGCCTGTGGCATTTATTGGCTAGGCTGTTTTTACTACTGATATACATTTTTTTGTCCTGTTTTACTCAATAAGCACTTTCTTTTCATACTTCATCACATCAGATTATAATGTAGATATAAATATACCAGACATTTTTTAAACAACAAACACTAGCCCATTATATTGTGATCAAAATGTTAAGTCAACTGTCAATAGGAATAAAAAATAAAATAGCATCGAATCATTTAAAATGTATTAAGTAGTTTATTAACAAAAATGTTCATGGGGAACCCCTGAATGGTTCAAACAGTAAAAGTGTTAATTTAGAGAGTATGTACAGTACATTGAGCAACAAAGTCTAAACATCACTAGTGCAAATCTATGCTAAGTTGTTAACAAAATCTGAACAAGACTCTCCAAACAGTTGGCCACAATTGGCCTTGAGCCAGCCCGCACTGGGCGTGCTTCAGGGTCTGGTTATCTTTCCACACCACACAGACTCCTGCGACCTGTCTGTGTCTGTGTCCTCGTGACAAGACTGCCTGTGGACCTTGCAGTACAGTTAAGAGATCAGCATTAGTCTTTCAGCTGTTGATAACTGCTAGGATACAAGCGCTGTGGCACCTGAGAGTACATTTCAGAAGTTTCAGAAGAAAGCCCAAGCAGCCCACATCTCTCCTAAGCTGGTAGAAGCTGCCAACAATTGGATATTTAAATAGAGAGTAACAGGAAAAAACAAATTGACAATTTCCACAGGTTGGCAATGTTAATGTAATGCTGTTATGTTTATTGTAAGTGTTGTGGGTTTTTTCTACTTTTATTGTTGTCATTTCATAATTTTTCTGACAAATGTTATTGCTGGACAATACTGCAGGAGATATATGAGGGTACTCATTTTGAAACAGACAGTAAGTACTTATGTGATAAAAATCATGACTAAAAACGTTGTCATTCAGAAAATAAATCTAACTAGTGTTTCAATTTTATATTATTATTTACTAGTTTAGTATGCGTCTTTGTCCAGAACGCCTCACAATACACATAACATTTACAAGTAGCTAATGGAATGATTTAATGACTTGTTGAATAATTAGTGGCTAATTGGTAGTAGTGAAAGTAGTGGTGTTGATAATAATACCAACAATAATGATTATATGGCACCTCGTTTTTCACTAAGATCTACTAATTTATCTGCATCTTATCGATATGCGACCTGTTCTACATTTGTTTCTTATAGTAATTAGAACATTTTAAAATCTATTCTGTATTATTAAAGAAACTGATAAGAAAAACAGACTAGCAAAGTCATAACTAGGGCTGTCTAACAGTAGCTGCAGTACTGTACTAACTACAGTTATATATAACTCTTATATAAACCAGTCATAATTTTTGTTTTGCGCAAAAGCTAAAGAAATTATTTTCATGTAAAATTGAACAACTCTGCAACTCTGCCACCGCACAAAACATTCCTTTTTTATCACCAACAGCATCAATAAAAGTTGTTATTAATAAATAAATATTGCGTGATTAACACTATTCTCGATAATGAAAACGAAAACATTTTTTCATTTTAAATTTCTTTACCATTAAACCACAAATCCTAATATACATACTACAATGTGAATATGCAAAAACAAAAAATAGCTGAAATATAAATAAGGTCTCCTACCTTGTTTATGAAACTTTTAGTGCCCGCTGCAGGTTCATGTATCCACCTACAGCACTGACTAAAAATCAAAGTTTCTCTGAAGTGACAAGGCACAGAACAGAAGATTTCCAACGTCTAAATTCGATACCCATTCAACCATAAGGTAACCTCACAAATGTGGACTGATCACCGGCAGCTTTCAAAGATCTCCGAAATGGAAAAAATAATTCGAATTCCAAGTTATATTATGGTACTGTAGCTCTTGGGCTCTACACTGTTGCAAACATAATAGGCTAACTAGTACATCCCAACTGTTTCAGGACGGTGGGAATCAATTGGCCTCAAACAAGTCCAGTTCTTCCTATGACCTCACCACTACTTCAGCCAATAAGGATGTGAAGACTCTTGAAAAATGCAGAGATCTTAGATACAGGTCCCGAATAGGTATTTGGGCTTTCTTTTCAGTGAGGTTTAATGTTGGTTTTTTGAGTGCGTGCTTTTAAAGACTGTGTTAGTTTTGATGTGTAATTGCTTGGTGTGGTATGAACATTAAAAAATCAGGTTAACTCACTTTTTAATGCCAAAGTTTCATCAATAGTCTCACAGACCCAAATTATCACCAATTAGCACCTAATTGTCATTTTAAGGATAGCGAAGCTACGTCGTTGTATTTAATAAAAGAGCACTTCCATTCTCAATCTTCTGCGTGTTGATTGCCCGCGCTACAATACATTTTCAGTTTTCGATAAACAAAAACAAGCTTAAACTTTTATTTTCGAAAAAAAAGTGAGTGTGAATTGTTGAATCGGTGCTGGAGAAAGCATCAGACCTGTTTTCTTTATAATTAATGAAGATTTTAAATCATTTAAAATATTAGAAGGCAGATTTCGGTATATTTCAATTAAATACTATCATGTAACACAAAGTAAGATCTAATTTCACGATAATTTCGCTTAAAAATGTAGCATACAATTCTAGGAATTAGTTCCATTTCACAAATGGAAAAAGTTGTTGAAACAGTATCTGGTGCCACCTAGCCGTATTCTTGTGTAACTTTCCGTTTCTGTTAATCAGAATCTCAGCACCTTGGATAGGTCTTCACACGTGAAGGTTTTGACAGCGCTGGAAGGTATTCGTGAGTGAATTTTAAATCCTCAGTAGTAAAATTGTACTTCGAACTGTGCAATTTAGAATAAAAAAATACAAAGGAAAGCTATATTTAACAAAAGGTTACATTCTTTCTAAGTATAAAGCAAGATTAGGATATTATTTTGACAGCAATGCTCTATCCTTTATATCGTTTATAATGTTTGTTTGCAGATTGTTCATACTTCAATATTATTCCAAGTGTCCAGAAGATTATTTCAAAGTCTGTATGCTGTATATACCCTAGACACATTTCACAAGGCTTTATGGACAGACAAAAAAAAATGGAACTTTTTGGTGAAATTACAAAATGTTATGTCTGGTGCAAACCCAACACAGCACCTGGTCAGAAAAATTCTTATTGTCAAGCATGATAGTGGCAGCGTTGTGTGATGGGGATGCTTCTTATCAACAGGGACTGAGTGATGACAATCTGGAACTGAGAAAAGACAGGAAAGAACAGGCAAATCTAGAGGAAAATCTGCTTAAAAGCAGACGAATTGAACATTGCATAAAAAAATTTACATTTTTGCAAAACAAAGATCCAAAGCACAAGACCAACACCTCGCTGGAGTAATTTAACAAGAAGAGATTTCATGTCCTTGAGCAGATTAGTTAAAGACCTGACTTAAATCCAATAGAATATTTATGTTGAGACTTCACGATTGCAGTCCATCAATGATCTCCAATTAATCTTGTCAGTATTGGAAAAACTGTGCAAGCGAGACTCTGCAAAAATGGCATTACACTGTGCAAACCTTCTAGAGTCTTACACAAAAACACTGAAAGCAGTAATTGCTACTAACATGGAGCCAACAACAACTCACTTAGGGAGCTGAATATTCACGCAATTGGAAATCTTGCAAGTTTTGATGAATTGCAGCCACCTTCTTTTAAAATTTGCATAAAACTGTTAAATTTGATAATTATGTTTGAAAGAACACGTTTATTTGAAAGTAAATGTATGCAATATTTGTAAAATATCAAAATGTGATGTAAAGTACAGCAAAAAACTTCCCTAAAAAATCTGTGTTCAAAAAGCAACCCAAATTACTCCAAATTAGTCAGAGACATTTAAAGTAATAATTTAACAACAGTGTATTCTAAATGTATCTGTGGTGAATCTAAAACTGTGCCTAAAAAGACTGTGCAAAATGTTACCAAAATGACTCCAAATTAGTCAGAAACATTTAATCTAACAGTTTTAAGTATTTTAAATGTTTCTGCTGTGAATCTGTATAAACTTTCCAGTCTTTCTTTTTTTTGTAACCTGCTGCTGAAAAGGCCTTTAAAATTACCAGGTTTTGTGCCGTCCAGAGGTTTGGTTGACAATTAACACAGAAGTTTGGCCTAACTGATGTTTTCATTTGTTTTCAAATGCAACAACCAATAGATTTGAGCACGTAGAAAGTGTGTTTTCAAGCTTTGGATTTTTGACCGTTTTTGATAGTCGCGCAGTTTAGCAGAAACTGCAAAATTGGTCCAAATTTCGCTGTTGAGGAAACAAGACAATAGCCTTCCTGCATTTCAAATGCACCCCTAAAGCACAGCAAAAGCACCACAAGCTGTCTAGGCGTTGTTCAAATCCTAAACCTAACCTTAGCTTGGGCACTTGTAGAATGTACACCCAAAACCAACCCTAAAAAAAGCTCTGTTTGAAATGTTTACCAAATGATTCCAAATTAGTCAGAACATTTTCAGCTAACAGTTTTAAGTATTTTAAATGTATCTACAGTGAACCTGTGTAAAATTTCCAGCCTTCCTTTTTTTGTAACCTGCTGCTGAAAAGGCCTATAAAATGACTAGGATTTGTGCCATCCAGCAAAAGCACCACCAACTGATATATTTTCAGAAAGTATATACAGTATAATTTGAAAGGGTTTAATCATTTTTTATAAAAAATCTTGTTTACTAATAATATTGAACTGAGAATATAGCTCATGAAATTGTTAGCATAAGTCATAATTATTAATTAGTCATAGTTATTAGTATATTAATATATTTTAATCTGTTTTGAAATATATATTTAACTATAATAAATGTAATTAAATTCAATTAAGTATCATACTGTATTCAAATCTCTTGAACGTCTGTGTGTGTCAGTCTCTGCTTCAAAAGCAGATTGGTCAAACTCCTCAACTTTAATCTTCTTTCATTTAATGGTCTACAAACCTGGTACAAATATACAGTAGTTATTTGCAATTTCTCCATTTCAGCTATATCAAAATGGGAGACTTTTTATAGATTTTAAGCAATTTTCAGATCTATGACTGAAAAAATACTGCAGTTAAAGCTTTATCCATCCAATCTATTTTCTAACTGCTTCATCCATTTTAGGGTCTCGGGGGAGCTGCAACCTATGCAGTTAAAACAAAATATTATGCTTAATTAGTAATTATACACTATTTTAACAGTTGAAGTTGGTTCAGTAAGTTTAACATACTGTTACAAATGGGGGTTAATTTTATTTATAGTATTAAGTTTGAAACAATAAAGTAAAAAAAAAATGCAAATTTAAAGTGAAATACAAAGTTGTGGCCAAAACAGGTCAAAATATATTATGGTTAAAGAAATTGCAAAATATTAGGTTGACAGCAATTTGTCAACATTGATCTTTTGTGGTACAGTTAAACAGGATTGTGTAGTCTAATGCTTTTCCAAAACAAATGATGCTGTCCATGTTCAAACACAACATTTTAATCTTCAAAGTTTTATCTAATTAAATATACATGGTTGAGCTGAACAGCAGAAATTAACGATCATTCATCAGAATGATGCAAGCAGCATACGAACTGGGGATCATCCTAAACAGTGCCATACAAGTTTGTGCACAGCTCTCTACTAACCGTGAAAGTTTATTTTGGCTAATAGATTAATTTGATAAACACAATAAGACAAACATGATTATGTGGAGGACAAAACAAAGGCAGGCTTTTTTTTCAAAAGTCTCAAACAGGAATGAGTTATTATATCAGTGAATGAGTCTGCAGGAAAGGGCCTTCATGTCTTGAGCTGTCCACTCAAATGTACAAACAGAAGAAAGCTAGACAAAGGTGGGCATGAGATTGCCCCTCTATCTGGTAGAAGAAGGTGGTGCTCAACTGTCCCTTCACAATGAATTGAAGCCTTTGAATGATGTTCATGGTAGGATAGATATGAGCTCATCAACTTGTTTCATCATTTATTATTGTTTTGGTATGTTTTTTTTTCTGCAAAATTCCAGGAAATATTTAAAAAGAACATATTTGAATAGTTTACACCAAAATGAACTGCAAGCTAATCTAACATGACACAGACCATTAAATTACAATTATCTTTGCTTTCTGCATGACTATTGATTTTGCACATAATTTAATTCATTAACAGTAGGACCATAAGACATGATTTTGATTCTGAGTTTCACCAAAACTTCAAATCAATATAAATAATAAAGTTAAAATATCTTTTAAAGTTTCTTAGCACTTTTATTCTATCTACAGTACTTGCAAAATATTCACTTCACTAAAAATCTATTGTAGTTACAATACATTCCAAAATGCAAAAAGAACATTATTAAACCTCCTAACATAGTTTCCTAAACACACTGCATTTGTGGACTAGAGGATCAATCAAACATGTAGACAACCAGATGTATTGTATTACTTCTTATTTTAAAGAAACACATATTAGAGAGAAAGTTCCAAACAAGAGGAAGATGTTTGTTTCTATGTTCCCATTAAAGCTTGCTGTGCAAGTCCTCGTGGTTGGGTCTTTCAAAATGTACAGCTGAAATTAATTTCAGCTGCAACCCCACTAAATATGTGAGCATGTGAAAGGAACAATCCTTGGATTTAAAAAGGAAATGAGAGGTGACATATAAGAACCTGTTTCGAAGACAGGACTTAATTGATGTTTTCTAGAAAGGACATGTCTATTGCAGTAAGTAACTATTTCTGTTGGTAAATAATATGTCAATTTATATTATTTCAAGATTGATCAGTTCACAGATATTAAAAAGGGCATCTTGGACTGTTATAATAGTTTTGATTTCGAACATTCTGTCAAAAAGCTCATCTGTCATTAAAAGCTCACAAGAGAAAAGAGAATGTAATCTTAGCATTTTCTGAAAAAAGTCTAGCATTAAACATCAAAACATACAGTAACGTACTTTGGATAGCGTTCAAACCTAGGGAATCAAAAACACAAGAGAATCTACACAACCTTTTAAAAGACTGTAGAACTGTTATACAAACATGTCACTTGACATTGTAATGAGAACCATTAACTATATATGAGCTACCCTGTGTGTTATACTATTAATATTCTTCAAAATAATTAATGGTAGAATTTGTCTTTTCCCAGTATTGTGACCATTTTGGCATTAAAGGGCAGGATCCCTTCTGTCTCAGGGAAGATTTCTTTTATCTTCACCCATGGAGCACATCCTTTTCAAGCACCCATTTTCAACAGCATGAAGGAATTCTGCAATGATAGCTAAAGAAAAGAGGACAATTTAATTTGGGAGTACTGGTTAAAGATTTTCAGTTATGTTCCCAACACAAAATACCTGAAGATTAGTAAGAAGAGAAACATGCATTTTGAGTATAAGGCTCTTCTTCACATGTCTCAGAACTTTCTATCCCTGATTTGAAATAACAAAACACTTGCAGTATAGCAATAGTACAACTGTACTTTCAGGTTGCCATTTTGCAAAATGTCTAGTTTAAACTTGAACTATATCTGAATATTTTGGAATATTTCTGGGCATCATTCTCTCTGAAGAACTCCATTTACTTGTTAAATTTGCTAATGCTGTTCCTGAATATGATTGGGTTCAAGACAAGACCACGCTTTGCTTTCACCTTCTAGAACCACATAGTGAATGTGTTGCTTGCAGATTACCTACAGTATAACAAGTACTGTATATTTTTAGAAAACACCTTTCCACAATTAAGCATAGTTAAAACTACAGCATATGCATATAGTAAATGCATTGTAAATTTAAACAGAACACACATTTGAGATAGAAATGAATCTTTTATAAATAAAGGAACTGCTACTTCTAAAAACAAAACTGCATATCAACACATTCACCATTAGCACTCTCTGAGATGATCCATTTTCTGATCATGCCGATGTTTACATACAGTACTTCTTGGGGGCTGAAAGATTCCATCTGTTTTTGTGGGTTCATATTTAGGTCTCCGGGACCTGATTCCAACTCCCATTTAAAATCACTTTTCTGAAGTATAGCACTCTTTAAGCTTTATTAAGATGGTGTAATAAGCATAGAGAATGCAGAGAGGTGGAATAATTCATATCATAATGTATCATGAGATTCAGCCATTTTAATCCATAGTCTCTGTATTTTACACAGCTACTGTAACATTGCTTATCCTAACCCTTTCATGATGAAACATGATGATAAAATTAAAAGGTGTTATTATGTGTCTACTTACCTAAAGTTATATTTCTTTTCTAGCAAAACTGAGAGTAAAATCAGGTAATTAGAAAATACAATATCACACAGACAAAAATGTCAACTGATCTACTGAAAATAAACAACGGTTGATACTAGCCACCTGGAAATTTGTTGACAACTCACACTGTCATTTAGTCTGGAATGGTCAATTTCTATGATCAATTTTTGCGGCCTAGAAAAAAACAAATGGACATGAAATGGTATCTTTGGAGTGAGAGTAAATAATGACTAAAGATCTTTATAAAAGACTGATGTTTTTAGTAAGAATTAGTGATTATACAACTGTAAAATAGTTATTTAAAAAGCACTGATAATATTTAATTACGTGGAGTACTATGAATTAATTTAAACAGGGGTCAGTGATGCCCTAACTAGATGAAACATCCTTTAATAATGAGTTTGTTTCACATATGATCTCAGACCTAGAGAGAGTTTAACTGTTAGGCACAATACTAGTACAGTACAGTATGTTCTGTTAGAACATTATGTAGGTCTTTTATGTCAAAAATGTTGATTTATACCAAGAATCACTGCTGCAAAAAATGTTGTCAGTCACTTTCACAGCATGTTTTCTTAATCCTACAACCATACAACCTACAACCAAATAAAACTGTGGAAATTATAGTCTATGAAAGCAGATTAAGGGAGAAACAGCATTACTTAAAGCAACAGTTTATCAAGGTGTGCCTGTGTCTTGTGGAAATAAGAAGAGAAAAGCTTTATAATCTATTTGAATACAACAGCATGTGACATTAAAAAATATTTATCTTTTTAATGGGTCACAATTTTTGTTACACACTGTGGTTGCAGATGTATGTATTGCCTATTAATTTATTGAAATAATTAAGGCTTGTTAACATTATATTATCAGACAATGATACATCTTGAAAATTTATAGAACACTCATTCAACCAGGTAAGAGGTAAGTAAAATAACAAATGAGTTTAAGAAACAATATGTGAATACTTACCTGTACAACTCGTAACAATTCATTTCAGAAAGAGACACAAAACAGAAATTGAAAATTAGGGAATACCACTTAATGGTCAGTATGTTGTCTCTATTCCAATGGCATTAAACAGAGAACCCTGGTTTCACCAAAGAAAGTTATCAGACAAAAAATTAAAATGCCATTTTCATAAAGAAGACAAAATATTTTGGAGGAAATACTGTCAACCAAAAACACTAATAGATTTAAATATACATTTTAGGCAAACTTGACAGAAAAAGCAGTCACTGAATTCAAATCATACTATGAAGCACTTAAAGGAATAAAAGATCTAGTTAACATACTGTAAGTAAATAATCTGGACATTTCAATTGCACCAAATACAAACGGAGACTCTTTAAAATTCTTTCTGTCGTCCCATTGTTTTATGTTGCAAACGTCTATAATGACTGCTTATTAGTTTGATCCGAATTCCATGTTCTGTTAAAAGAGGTTACTTGTTCTTGCTCGTGTAACAGCTTGGCTTGCCTGCCAGAAACAAAATCTTGGTGGGGGAAGCCAAGCTCATTCAAGTTCTCAGAGCAAAAGCAAAAAAAGTGGCAGTTCAATGCCATGTCTTTTCCACCCCAAGAGCTTTCCCAGTTTCCTTACATTATTATATTTATTTTTTTTGCTCTGTGCCTGCTACATTTCTCCATTCCACATTCTCTACACTTCTTATTGCAAAGCTGAATTTGACTTCATTCAAAATTACAAAAAAAAAAAGAAGTCAAGTACATCTTTGCAATAAGAAGTGTAGAGTATGATCAGCCACCACAGAACTAGATGTTGGTGACAACAGGTGGAGCAGGGTGGAATTTCAAGTGAGGTGAAAAAGTCGCAGCCTTAGTCATCTAGTCTCAGCTGTTTAAAGCGGCCATTGACACAAATCTGTTGTAAAAACATCACCTTTTCTCTCTGGAGCAAAACTTGAAAAAGAGCTTCTGTAAAGGTCTAGGTTGTAGTGTGAAGAACACCAGTTTTCTAGCCTTCATTGATAAAACCAGCTAAAGGAGATCATACAATAGGTATCAGTGTATACAATATTGCCTGCATTATTTTTCAAAAGTGCAATGATGGGAACTTTCTGTACAATACAGTATGTCTAGAAGAACTACTGTAAGTCAAAGTTTTTGACTATTGTTATTGTATTTATGTTAGGTCCTTCTGATATATCATTATCCTAGCATTATCCTATATAGGATCTCTTTAATATATTGATGCGCTTCCTTTAATATTTGCAAACATAATATTCTGATATTCACCTGGGCAGGTGTTCTATAAGTGCAGCCGTCGGGTTACCAATTGCTTTACTAAGCATTTGTCTCACCTGCTTCTTCAGACTTGACAAATTCATTATTGTCCACCTGGGCACAAGTGGAAGGGCAATCTTGGTGTAAAGATCTCAGGCAGGTCTGTACCATAGAGTGAAAAATACATAAAATTATATTCTGAAAGCCAGCAAATTATGAATTCATCTTTTTATGTATGATCCATCATCCCATGATTAATGAAAAATTACATTCTTGTGGCTTTTGACTGGCATGAAAGCAGTCAATTGTCAGCACTGTACAGAAATAGTTTGACAGACAACCTGGTGTAGACAAAGCAATCTGAAGAATTTAAAGTAAACTGTGTGCAGGCCACCAAAAAAAGAAAAATGTAAAAAGACAAGAAGCAACTCTTAAATGAATTTGTAGGTAAAAAGGGAGGTACAAATTAATTAATTAGTTGTCTTTTGACATTTTTAACAGTATATGCTAGCCAGAACACAAAATAGACCTGTGCTAAAAGCATTACGTACTCTGTTTTGTACACAGTATTCACTTTTAAAAATCAGCCTTTTTTAAGAAAAATAAAGGAAAAGAGTGAAATTTTAAAATTCAGTAACGGAAGACTGCAGTTTAATCCTACTTTCTTGGTATATTGTTTGCTTCTATAAGTCTAATGATGTCACATAAATATACCTGTATTTCTGGGAGTTCCTTCATTTCTTCAAGATTTGTAACAAAGTCTTCAAACACTAGCTGTGGAAATAGTTTATTAGCCCAGCACTGGATACATTGAATTAGGGCCTGTAGGTCTTCTGCCTGTGGTAGCAATCATAAAACAATCTTTTGATATTTCTATTCCATGTTTCTTCCTCTGTATTTTCTTCAATTTTTAATAATCACCAAAGTTTCTATGAATCAAAAAATCACCATATACAGTATTACCACATCTATATTTGCTTAAGGAAAACAGCATTCAAACCATTCACTTCAGTTTTCCATGTGTAATCATTTGTGGTGTTTTGTAATTAATAATTTTATATCTTGTATGTGGATTTTTTATTGGGGGGGGGATCCGGAGCCTATCCCAGCAAGCAACTGGCACAAGGCAGGACACACCATAGATAGGATGCCGGTCCATTACAAGGCATACACAAACACAAACATCCACACACTCACAGTGGGGCCAGTTTTATCAGAAGCCAATTAACCTACCACTATGTCTTTGGACTGTGGGAAAAAACCAGAGCTCCACCAAGAAACCCATGTGAACATGGGGAGCACGTACAAACTCCATGTAGGTAAAATCGCACTGACAACAACTTTGTGCTGATTTATATCTCCTTGTTCCTGAAGAAATATTAACTCCAATACTTGAAGAAAGGTTATCCTGAATACCTGTACAGAATTGTTTCCTATCCAGCACAGAATTTCCCTCACGGAACTCCACAGCACTATTGAATAGTCGGAATTTCCTTCTTTGACCCCTGCTATCGACTATATATTTTTTAGGATCTTGCGTGTGGCACAAATGAAAAGTGGAGCTGAGTTCAGGTGACAGAGGTAGCCTTCTTCAGCATACAATTTGATTTCTATAAACTTTGTGATTTCCAGAAGCCACAATTCATGCCACAAATTTTAAACTGGTAAAATTGTATCACAACTGTCTGGCAGGCAGTCAATCACATTGTACCATGTCAACACAACATCACATGAGGCAACATTTCATTTCAACATGTTATTCTAATGTGTTCATTGCATTAGACAACCTATTTATCTTGTTTCCACAATTACAGTATATACAATATTGTACATAAAGTATACATACACACATGCTTTGGGGTTTATTTGTTTTTCTATCAATTTCTGTCTACCGTCTATTTCTGTTTTCTTGTCTACCCACATACTGTAGCAGAAAGCAGTATCTAAGAAGCAAATAAAGATAGATCGTTTAAAGATTGTGGTAAATTGCATACTCTCACACACTGAGCCATCTTAAAAAAAGTCCTGTAAATATATCGCAATTTATGTATCAAAGTTATGAATTAATGATAAAAAATCTGTATAAGGAGTCAACACCTTGGTGAAGCCTGAGTTTTTCTCTGCCCACATACACACATCCCTTTATTTCATGACATGATCAGCTGTCCAATTAATAGTCCAGAAGAGAAATGCAGCCTAACCTACTAACAATGGCTGGAAAGGATTTAGGTGAAGTGCACAGACACTGCATAAAGATGTCATACTGACACATTAACGAGCGATGTACTATTTTAAAAGGGTCTAGAGGATTTATGTCATCTTGTTAAAGTGTTTGGGGTAAATTTTATTTAGGTACAGTAACAAGCTGTAGGTTTCATTCTTTTACTGTAAGAAAATTATCCTGGTAGCAGAAAAAGATAGGCCTCAAGGGTCAGTTGGACAGCATTTCACTGAAGGGCTTATGTATTTTTAATTGCCTCTCTGGTTAGCATAGACAGAGATTTACAGTACAGTAAAAAAATAGCCTGTGTCCATTTACTGAATGTGTAACACACAACCCTAATAAATGTACAATAATCCAGTGCACTCTGATTTGATTATCTGCAAACTAAGATCACCTAAAAAGTTCTTACCTGGCTTTTCACGAGAAAACCATCACTTAACACTTCACCATCTGGCACTTGAAAACCGATGGAATTACTAAAAATAATGTGATTGTGTGAACGTAATTGTGTTTCCAAAGATCAACACACTTCTAAAGACGCTTTCCTTCATGTTTTTAGCATTTTTCTAAACAGTATCAGCAGCAGTAGTAAATGGTTTAGAAGAGAGAGAAGAGTCTTAAGAAAGTTTTCTCACAAGTTAGTGACTGCAGTTCTGTCCTGATCATGTGTTTGTCACACGAGATTCGCAGTGAAGAAGGTATGGCAAGTAATTTACCTCTAGCTCTTATTATAAAAATATTTAACTTCTTAATGCACTGTACAGTGCCTTGAAAAAGTAGTCAGACCCTTTAGAAGTTTCAAATGTTGCAGTATTACAAATGTTAGTTACACATCCTTTTTCAATCAGTATTTTTACTACAAACTCACATATTCAAACAGAAAATCTAGACAAATTTAGATATTTGACAGCAGATATCTTAAAGAAAGTCAAAAACTTAAATATGCTGTTTGCATAAGTAAACTGAACCACCCAATAATATTTGGTAGAGCCATATTTTGCAATAAAAGCTTTATGTTTTTTGGAGTAGGTGTCTACCAGCTTTATACATGGGTTAGGAGTGATATTCACTCATTTCTCTTAGCAGATTTGCTCCAGTTTATTCAAGTTTCTTGGATAGCACTTGTGAACCTCAATTTTCAATTCAAACCACAGATTCTTGATGGGGTTGAACTCGGGACTTTGACTAGGGAACTGAATGACTTTCACCTTTTCATTCTTGAGACACTCCAATGGTGCTTTGGCCCTGTGTTTGTCATAATTAACCTGCTGAATATACTCTCAAGCTTCAGTTCTTTAGCAGACTGAAACAAGTTCCCTATACTTCGCTCCATCTTCTCCATTTTTGCTCCATTTTTCCTTCACTTCTACAAGATTCCCAGTCCCTGCTGATGAGAAGCATCCCTATAGCGTGATACTGCCACCATAATACTGCACTGTACAGATAGTGTTTTTTGGGGCATGGGCAGTGTTTGCGCCACACATAGAGTTTTGAATTTTGGACAGAAAGCTCTATCTTGGTGTCATTTGACCACAAAACCCAAATTTTAGCTGGATGATTCTTGTGCTGTCTGGTGAACTCCAGACAGGCTTTGAGATGGTTCTTTTTGATTAACGCCATTTTTCTTGCACATTCCCACAGTGGTCTGTGTAATGCAGAGCTCTTAATATAGTTGACTGATGCACCTTAGTTCACTTCCAGTCACTAAACTCTGAAGGTCTTTCTGAGTGATTGTTGGCATCTCAGTGGCTTCCCTCACAAGTCTCCTTGTTGTTCAATGCTGGGTTTTGAGGAACAGCCTTTTTTGTGGTGTGATGCAGCTTTCATTTCTCACTTATTGTTTGCAATAGTGCTCGCTGGGATATCCAAGCACTTTTATTTTTTGTTTTGGATATTTTTTGTACTCTTTTTGTAGTCTACTGTATGCTTTTTTAGTCACTTTATCTATACCTTTCTTAGAATGCTATTTAGTCTTCATTTTCAAACATACCTTTCCTTGAGATTCATTGCCTCACCAATAATCCCTCAACAGATTTTTTATCTACTAAACATGAGAGTCGTTTCAATGGTGCACACACAGAGGCCAATGGAAAGGCAATTATATCCTGGTTAAGGCCATTTCTTTCACCTACTGTATGTAAACTTAAGAGTTACCACAGTGCAGACATCTGAATACTTATGCAAGTAGCGTATTTCAGTTTTTGGCTTTCTTTAAGCTATCTGCTAACAAATAACTTTTTTTAATTTGTCTTTAAAATAGGTGAGATTTCAATAAAATACTCATTGGAAAACAATGTATCAATTGTAATTCAGCAAGATTTGAAAACATTTAAATGGCCTGAGTACTTTTACAAGGCATTTCATGTGTTGTTTTTTAATATACTAAAAAAAATTACAAATTATCATCAAAGTGATTAATTCTCATACAAAGCAACAATGCCCTTTTCAAAATAGTCAAGTTTATATACAGTACATTTAGCATTCCTATACTCAGCATGTTTAAGCAGCTTTAAATTTAGGACACTGCTGCTCAATATGGTCTTTCACTAGACAGGTTTCTAACATAGGCATATGGACTTCCCTGCCCTCCATATTGATATAGTGCTGAGTTTATGAATGGTACATTATCCTATTATAACTAGATAAGCAAACGGATATATGGACTTCATTCATTCACAAACAGCTGTGGTCTTTTTAATACATGTGACCATACCGACTAATCTAGGGCTTCCGTGTTCTGTACTAACTCTGGAAACAAACAAAAATGAAAAAGAGCTTAGTTTTTGAAGAAGTGAAAATAACACATTACACTTAATGAATGAGTGATTAAACCATACAGTAACTATAGCAGAAATGTACAGTAAAACATTGGTAATGTGTATTCTACATGATAGTAATAATTGAGAAATAGCAGCACTACAGCAAGTGTACAGTAAATGAAATACATTTTTTTCAGCAATTCTCTTAATTTAATAGATTGCTTTTCAGACTGGTCTCTTAGACCCTCTTGCGTCACATCTAATAATTTCTCTTCTGTTTTCCTATTTTACTGCATACATAAATTGCTTAAGATTCTGTTTTACTGTGTTTCTACATTGTATCTTCACAATGTAAAATTTTGTATTCCTCTATGTCAGTACTGTAATTATTATTTTTTTAGTTTTAACTGTTTTCTTCTGCATTTACAGTAATACTGCTTTTGCAAAGGGCAGCTCAGTTCTTTAGTCACAGACTCCAGTTCGTCAGAGTCAGATAAATTCAGTTGGTTATTCAAACTGCTTATAGTGAGAAGGACACCGAAATACAAAGAGATATTGTTTTTCACACTAAGTAGCAGACAGCCAGGAGTAACTCTGGAGAAGAGATTCTCTTTGAAGATTTCTCTAAAGACTTGCTGTCTTGCAGGACTGCATTTATGTTACTTTGAAGGTGATATCATGCATACATGCAATTTATCTTTGGCATTTTGCAATGGAGGCCCCTAATTTAAATAATGACTTTGAAATAGTTCCCCATTCAAACACATCTGAGTTATTGGCATAAGTTAATAATAATTTGCAAAGCAAGTTAAAGAGTACAGGACAAATGTATCATAAAAAAAATCAATGTTATCCACAATACAGTATATTCTGTTAATCATAAGATCGTTTCACAGAATATTTATCATATTAAGTATATTTCTTATTGTTTTAATAAACTTACTTCGTATCCTTCTCCTTTGAAAGATATACTTTCACATTTATTCTGCAAGGAAGAAATCCCTTCTTCTGATACAAGCCTGTGAAATTAAAAACAGGGAAATATAAAAAGTACCAAATACTGTAGAACTTTTTACTTTTTACAAATAGAACGTTTAGATCTTAATTGAAGGAAATAATAGAGAATATCCAATAGGTGGCAGCAGTTCACTTTGAGAAAACAAAGTTCTTTCCATTCAAATAAGTAATATTTTTGGTAGTAAAATACAATCAACATAATAACATATAAGGTGCTATACAAAATATTTATGCTTAAATATTGGATATCTTCAAAGAAAATGCCTCTGTCAAGTAATCAGAAAATATATTGAATGGATATTCCTATGATAAACACTGTTAAGTCATTTCATACAGAGTAAAAGCAAAAATTGTCCAGTCCAGTTCAAAGTTTAAGACAAAGTGAGGAAATAATTACCTTGTGTTTTTTTAAAGCTTACTTAAAGCCTATGCCTGGTTAATAGGTGCTTCCATTGTAGAACATTTGAAACACTTGAATGTATTGAAGGGCTTACAAAACATAAGTGTTGTAAGAGGTAAAACCTGCACTGAGTCCTTTATAACTCCACTGCTGGTCAGTAGACCAGCAATGTCAATTAAAAAATGACTGACCAAAAACTTTTACTTTTACTTATTTTTCATAAAGTTGAGATTCTAAACCATGCATAAAACCTCATTCCCAGGTGAGACATTACTAGTGTACCCTTTAGCAAGGTACAGTACTTTTTATAGTAAAATATCCAACTGTGTAAATGGGTGGTAATGTACAGTAAGTCACTCTGGATAAAATCATCAGCCAAATGAATTAGCAGTAGCAGTATAAGAAACCTTTGTACTTGTATGTAAATATTTTTTTCATCTTTATCATTACTCACTTCTGTACATCCAGCTCACTTTTTTGTTCTTTATTGTTTTCAGTGGGCTCCTCTTCCATCTGACTCAGAAGTAGTCCACCAACCCTCTGTTCTGCTCATGAAATAAGTCCACATTTTACCACACTCTCCACGAACATAAAAACTGAAGTAAATAAAATTGAAGAAATAGGCAGTTTCTCACTCTACACTGGCAGTGTGTCATTGTTTTTTCTACATTTACACAAATGCTAAGTCCAGTTAAAGATGAATTCTCATTATTTCCTGATTTTTTATGTTTCGTTCAAAATGTTCTGTTTTGTAATATTACAAAAATATAAACATTTATGTTGATTAAATTCATGGTCTTCAGTAAATTATAACATTGTGTCAAAAACATTGCAGTCTTTATGCAAGAGTTAAATGTAAGAATGTTATTAGAAAACCAGCATTCCTACATTTGCAGAATGTATTTATAAAACACAACTCATAATCTCTTTGACAATCTTCACTTCAAGTTTCGGATTTCGAGGAGATGTATTAAGCAGAGAGATTAGTATGGTAGTAAGTTTTAAGACGGTTTTAGACAGACAACTTATTTTGCAGTATCTGTGAATTAATTAATATTGGATTCCATGTCTCAGTTCTTTAATCATAACATAGTGATGCTTTCGGGCTATAACTAAATAATGGCCATTTCAATATCCTTGAACTACACACACTAAACAATGTTTATAAATATACTGTATATACACATGCACACTATTATGTATGAGTAAAAAACAAAAGGTGTATTTAAATTGCTTTCTTGAGATTCAACCTTAATTGTAACTACTCAAAATGATTTTTTTTAAATCATATTGTGCCTGAAGATAAATTAAGTTGTAGTTGTGCCATATTTGTTTATTTCATCCTTAAATGTTATCCGTGTTTTTTTTTTGTTACTATACCGTCCTACCCATCTCAACTTCCACACTGACTGAAGTGCTTTTCCTGATCCCTGGAAATGGAACAGAGAAAGTTGATATAGGAGGAGGAAAAGGAGGAAACTTCTCATCTTCAATGTCTTCATAATATGGTGGAACAGTAATCTGGTAATCTTCACTCTGGCCAAACATAGCTAAAATGAAAAGGTGGAAAAAACGAAAACCTGTGCATATCATTGTATAGTAAGATATCTTAATTGAAACAGAGCTTTAAATGAATATCTAGCAAGAAAAATGACATCTAATAATAACAATAAAAAACATCATCATTGTTACCACCACTAAAAATAACAACAATAATAACATACCTATTTAATAAACATTTATCCTTATACTGACAATCGTACAGAACTACTAAATGCATTGCATACAGTACATCTGTTGTTAATGTAGTTATCTAAAAAGTTGCATGTTAAGGTTTTAAAATTGAATTAGTTAAATTCTTATTATGGTGCTAGTCTGAATTCTGTATCTTTTCCCAAGACTGAAAACCATACCTTTTTCTTTCCAAAACGTAAGGTTCCAACTCCTTTCTAAATTGTGCAGCGTGTGAGTGAGAGCCGTGCGCTGTCTGCACGTCTCTGTGTCCCCAGCCCCAAGTACTAAACAAACTCCACGCTGTGGATAAGCCGAGCCACTGAATAATTACGTGTGTGCGTCAGTTTGATGCTAGTAAGTCCTATTTACGGTTGCAGTTGTATTTTTTTCTGTCTAGCGTTAAAACAAACCATCTTATAAATAACTCCCGGTAAAGTTATATAACACTTTAAAAAGATCGTCATTTACTGGTTACCATTTTTTTCGTTTTGAATGAATAAATCAAGTGATTTATTCTCACTCTTACAAGATGAATCTGAGCATCTTGTAAGAGTGTCAGTTTAGGTAATTTGTTTTAAAAAGAATGGGCAAGGTTCTTCTTAGTCATCTTAACATTTCTTTCAAAAAAGTTTTTCTTTGCTCATAAAGTTTACTTGCAAGCTTTCTTTACCTGTCAGTCAAATGATGAATAAACTCAATATGATTTCAGAGACGGATCACAGTTTCTGTTGTGAAGAAGGAGACAACTATAAAGCAGGATTTGATGAAAATGCAAAAGCCAAGTTGTAACGGAGAAATGAGAAAACAAGAGACAGACTGAAGCTGCAGGCCAAGAATCAAATAGCCAGGCCAATGCAAAAATACCACATACTAGGCTCCCAGATGCTGTGTGGCTCCTGAGCTTTGATGGAACAGGGAGCTAGAAGTCATTTGTAATTCATTTACAGACACTAGGGAAGATGAGCTGCTGAAGCACTGCAGAAAAAGTGGCGCATCTCACCACAGTGGTCCAAGGAGATGCCAGATGGTGATGCTAAATCTGCTGGAAAGACCAGGACAGTGCTGGAGAGCTGTCCAAGGCACTTAAACACCACTTTGGAAGGCTAGGTCACTGTTTCCCAACTCCAGCACTGTGGGAGAAATAAAAAATAAAAATAAAAAAAGTTTTTGCGGATCCAGAATTTAATCATGCATTTTAAAATCTGCACAGCTTTACCATTTACATATACAGTCTTGTCCTAAATTATTTCAAAATGTGGCACATCTCAGTGGTTGATACAAAACTACAAATATTGTAGGTTTCAGAACGTATGATTATGTGCTAGCTGGGTTAGAAACCTGAACCATTATTTGTGTCCCAGGTTTGACCTGGAAAACAACATGGTAGATCATGAAGGTCTGGTTTGTCCAGATTTTATACATTTGTTTTCAATTGCAGCTGGCTAAGACTTAAAAACATGATTTCACTTCTAATTCAAATAATTAATTGAAGAAATTAAGATCAGAGGTGGATTGAAAACTAGAGGGGCCCCAGTCTGTTGAGGACTGGTGTTGACTTTCTTTGGGCTGGATGATATGAGGGAAATTAAGTGTGTGCAATCTACCATATTTCAGGCATCTCTTAACCTCTTGAACACACACACCCACAGTAAGTGTTAAATCCACTGATCCATAACATGTCCTGCATGTTCTGTGGATTTCAAGCTCTAGAGGCTTGTACAGTACCATCATAGCAGGCACATGTTGACTATACACTGGTGAAAGCATAGCCAAGAAAGCACTGGAAATAGAATGGAAAGCCTAAGAAGAATAACATGAATGACCATTAAAAAGGTATGTCTCAGCTTCTGTGCACACAAACAAAAACAGATGTTCCCTTATAATACACTACAGTACTGTAGGTAGGTACAGTAGGTAGGTCCTTCAGGCCATCAAGGCCCATGTGGAATGGGAGGCAAGGGCCACCATTTTTCTTGACCATCTGACACTGGAAGTGGAGGTGACGGGGTCATCACACTCTGGTCAGCCTATTACCCCCGGAAGGATTAAACCCCGGTACTCATTTGGAAAGCAGGATGAGTGGACCTGGGAGCCCTCTGGGAGGAATTGCCCCTACCTGGGATTTAACCCAGGACCTTTTGGTCACGCCCTTGAGTACATTACAGTATGTGCACCTAAAACATTTGACAGTCTTGTAAACTGAGCCGTACTTAGCTGAAGAATAAAATAATTGCCACAGGGTCTTGGGGAATTAACTGTACAGGGTAGTAGAATCCTTGAGGTGCTGGATCACTTCCTTGCTGAAGCAGCCCTCAATCCGCAGTCTTGTACCACACTAGTCTGAATTGCCTCTTGCATTACCCAGAGAGAAGGGATCATCCACCACACCCACTGTCACTCCTATGTATCCAAGGACCAAGGAAGATTTTGATAGCATTGATGCAGCACAGAGCAAAGTCAAACTGCCCCTGGCTGTTGCTCTAGAACGCCCTCAGGTGAGAACTCAACTGCCAACCTTGATATTCTGTTTTTACTGGCGTACAGTCCTACAGTTACGTGTCTGCACATCAATTATTTTTCTGAACCCATCCATCCATTTTCTAACCAATTCTTCCAGTTCAGGTTCATGGGGGATCTGGAGCCTATCCTGGTAAGCTACAGGCACAAGGCAGTGTACACCCTGTATGGGATGACAGTCCATCACAGAGCAGCCATTCAGACAAAAACACAAACAAACTCATAACTAGGACCAATTTTCCCAGAATCCAGTTGTCAACCAAGTACGTTTTTGGACTGTGGGAGAAAACCAGAATGCTCAGAGGAAAACCATGTGAACACAGGGAAAACATACAAACTCCACACAGCACCCCAGGTCCAGAGTTTAATCCAAGGCCCTTTTTTTGAAACAGTTCTTATTATTTTCAAGTTTTTTAAAAAACAGAACAAAATAAAAACAATATGGTATAAACACATTGGCAATTGCCATAGCCTCACCCATGTGACATCGTTGTTTTACACAAAAATAAAATGCTTTTAAAATGTTTGCACTTTCATTTAAGATTTTTCTGGATATTGAGTTTAAAATCAGGAATTGACTGTTGCAGACTGATAATAGAGCAGTAAGATATTTGTAAAATGGAGTGTCGTTAATTCAATAATCACATGGATATTCAAATAATTAGTTTTTGAAATAAGAAAAAAGGTATTTATTTATAAATACCTTACAATAATTTATTTTCTTCTCACAGAGTATTTTGCCATCAGAATTATAATATTAACCCAGGAAAAAATACTTATAATTATGACAACTAAACGTAGAACAAAAAATACTTATCAATAGAATTTTAAAAAGTATCCCACTTTTAAACAGACATACTATATATTACTTTATTTTTTAAATAAATATACCCTTTGGTGTACTCAATTATCACTCTATTAAACCATAAGAATACAGACTAAAATACAATTGTTGTACTGGTTTATGTTTAGAGTACAGAATATTTTTTGCTGCAACTGATTTTTAAGTGAGTTTTAGAGGCAAGGATGGCAATAGTTTGACAACCATTAATCTGACTGGGAAACGGTGAAGAAATTCACTGGCCTTAAAATGTCAGGTGAAGCCCAATGCGCTAAGTGAGTATGTATGTCATAGTAAATTTGTATTTTGACTTGGTGCTTCACTTGTCAGTCCGGGTTGACAGTATTTTAATAATTCAGGAATTGAGTCACAATATGTGACATGTGGGTGAACGTACTGTAGCTGTTAATGTAATCTTGCCTTATTACCCCTGTTGGAAAAGTAAGAAAATATATTTTACAAGCAAACCATATACTAGGCCCCAGGGTGTATACAGTAGGTGTAAACATAAATGTAAGAATTGTAAAACAGCTCTGAGTGAGAAACACGAGCAAATAAGGCCATTTGCTGTGTGTATCACAAACATTACCACCCACAACAATGAAGAAATGTTTTTCCATTGATGCTGTAGGCCTAATCATGATTTTTTTAACACAACAATAACATCATCATCAAAAAACAACAACAACAACAACAACAACAACAACAACAACAACAATAATAATAATATGCAGACAAATTTCAATGACTAATTCTATACATTTTGGTATCTAAAAGCTTTTTTTCAATTTCTAGGTGTTTTTTTAGATAGCCATAAAAGCATAAACTGCACATAGCCCAACATTCAAAGTTACCTTTAAAATGTAATTTATAAAATGCAATGCCAGCAATAAAATCATAAAATCTATATTTTTCCTTATTTGATCATTTAAAGGTATGGTTGCATGCATCTATGGATCAATAAATAAATAATACAAATTAGTATTTAATCATTTGATTGACTGTACATACACGAAAGCTTGTATTAAACTGCTTTATTAATAGGGAATGCATTAAACTACTGTATGTTCTATTAAACTGGCTCATGGAACCCCCTATAGATTTGGAATTGGTAGGGGAATGCAACAAGGATTCCCCATAAGCCCACTACTGTTCCTGCTGGTTATACAAGTTATGGCTACTCATATAAAAACCATACTGTACTGTATGTTTCAGGGTATTCAAATACAGGTTAAGGAGATTAAATGTTCCCATTTGGCTGATGATACAACAGTTTTTTTAAGAAACCAGAAGAAGGCAATTAAGTGCTTACAAGTATGTTCTTCTGTATGATGGCTATTGGGAAATGTGAGGTCTCCTCCATATGGAAAATCCATGTATAAGATGTAATTACATACTGTACCTTAGGAACAAGTAATAGGTTTATTCCATGCTGAAAAAAAGAAGAAAGAGAACACAACGTTTCGGCCGTGGAGCCCTCTTCAGGTGTGAGAGAGCCTTCTGGAGCCTTCATGCACCTGAAGAAGGCTCCATGGCCGAAACGTTGTGTTCTCTTTCTTCTTTTTTCAGTATGGCTTGAACCTATTACTTGTTCCTTTGCAGCCTACGCATGCTGACGCAGCTACCCACCTGAACTATTACATACCTTAGTATTAGAATTTCAAAAAAATAAAAAAAATTAGAAGTGATCTATATTTCTCCCCTACAACATGGTCATTTAAAATGACTCATGGTTATTAAGAGACCTTTCTTTAAATGGTTGAATACTTTTATCTAGATCTGAGGGTTTATCTAGGTTAGTTTTCAGTATGCCTCACTTGTCTTGGGTGCTATTATTTATCGACCACAGGCAGAAGGGGTCTAAATGCTTTAGATGTTAGGACATCTAATAGTATTTTAAGATGAAAAGGATACAGAATTATTTTATAAATAAGCAAAGTACGTGGTATATATTCATTAATTTAATTTTCAAGGGGTATAGTGTTTTTGCATGAATGCAATTTTAATGTTGGAAAACTCCCCCTAAATTTGCTAGTTTCCGTAGAAAAGTACGGCTGCTTAAGTATAAACATAATTTTCCCTCTCTTTTGTGAAATTAGCCCTGAAACACTTATTTATATCCTGTCGTAAAAACATTCTGGATTGATCTGCAAAGCTACATTCTAATATCGGTGCTACTTTTAAAGAAATAGATGTTACGTTAAATTTTAATCCCATTGAAAATAATATGAACATAACTTTTGTAATTGACTTAATTATTATACTTGCACGCTATTATATACATATATAGCGAAATGGTCTGGGAAGATACATATGTTTGAACAGTTTAAAATCGAGAAAAGGGCGTATTTGCACACTATATTGGAATGTAAGAACGTGAAAGCTGTGCGGACCTTATCTTTATTTACCTTGTTCAATCTTTTTTCATAAAAATGTAATTGTATTACAGTGTGTACCCCTGACGATGTAATCGATGATTGATGTTACTCTTGTTTGAATTGTATGTATTTTTGATGTAACAATAAAAAAAAAGTTTACAACAAGATCGACTGCACAGTACTGCCAGCAAAAGGAGATCATGTATCGAACAGGAAGTGTGTTTTTTCTACCAATCGGATTTGAGAACACTGAGAAGGCTCTTCCGTCTTTCTGTCTGTCTGGCGGACGTGTGTACCTACTGTACCTACTGTAGCGTTGCGTGAGTTCTTTCTGTGGCTGTGTTATTGGGGAGAGTTTTTAAACTGAAGCTTGCGTTTTAACTGTCCAAATGTGCCTTTGCCGAACTCCGGGAGTGCACGCTCCAGACAAAGCGCTCGGTCTATTTATAACTAATTGAGGACGTAGTTATATTCTAAAAATATGTGTAAGCGCTGACTGTTACGTGGGTTATAGTCTGCCTACGCAATCAGATAGTGTTTACAATTATTTTTAAACATGATCTAATTTCTGGTACGATTAACCTAGTGAAGCAGTTATTTTATGTAGAGTGCAAACGGTCACTAGTGTTTGCCTAAATCGGCTCACAGCAGTGCCATATGTGCAGTAGCTGTGGTGGTACAGTAATGAGGACGTCATACAGTATGAAACTTAGAACATTTTAGTTTTAAAGTCATCAAGCCTATGACGTATTAAACCTTAGATGTCCACTTGCTGAAAAATGTTTCTTACGATAGTATCTACTTATCTCTGAGTTGATAATGCTGTTATGTAACCTACAGTAGGCTGTGGGGTCAACTTAATATCCTTACGGATTGCAAAACGTTTTATGAATCACGAAAATTCGTGTGAAAATATTATTAACGCTTACAAAGTGAACGAAATATTTTAATCTTAGTGAATTTTCTAGAGAGCCTAATTGATTTAGATAGGTATTTGGTGTAATAGCTATTGTATAATGTTAACTTGTATTTGTAATTGAATGGTTTTTCCAATAGCCTTTATAATGAAGGAAACCTTTATATATTTTGGCTAGATGGTAAAAGTTCTATTTCTCTGTCATGCTGCTGAATACAACATGCAGAGTGACAGAAAGTCATTTTCACTGAAGACTTGGCATTATGGTGCAGTGGTTAGCATTACTACCTTCCGGCGCTGTCTGAGTGGAGTTTATACAGTATATTCTCTCCATGTTCATGTGGATTTCCTCCCACAATCCAAATACATTCTGATATTGGCTTCCTGGCTTCCTTAATTGGCATGTCTTTGTGTGTCTGCCCTGCAATGGACTGTGTCTTGTCCTGGGAGTATCCTGCTTCATGCCCTGTACTTACAGGGATAGGATCCAACTCCCCTGTGACCCTATATTGGACGAAGCAGTTAGAAAATGGATGGGAGGCGTGCTGTGCTATCAGTGTCTCTGTGATATTCTGATGAGTCTATCCATCGGTAGATGCAAAGTGTTGCATCAATAGGTGATATGCAGGCATTGCGAAATTCTCATTTGGCATGGAGTGCTTGTTGAAAACTGGGTGTGAAAATTAAATTGTTAACTACAGTATATTAAATAAGTGTCCATTTATTCGGTATCTGAACATTATTTATATTGTCAATAACAACAAATTAAGTGAGAGAATAAGTAATGAACTGTAGTTAAAGTTTTAAGTGACTCATTTTAAATCTTTAAATAAAGTGAATTTTGGAAGAAAACATTTTTTTCACAATTCTTTACTACTACGAAAGCACACAAAGACTGGTACCTTTTTGCAGTTTTTGTCTCAGATATCATTACTGATCACATTAGATTTTGGGAATGTACAATAGTACGTCTAGGTGACCAGCTTTTCAGAAGCCTATTCTAAGTGCCTCTGTAGAAGCTGAAATTTTGTTCTGGATCTCAAACTTATGAACTATTGGGCATAGAGATTTTGAGGGGAAAAGGTTTACCTTTTTGTTAGATAAGTAGTATAATTTGGACACTAAGGGTCACATCTTGGCCAAAAACCCTTTTGCAGTTTTTACATTTTTACTGTTACCTGAAAGTTTATCCTTTATTTCCTTATGTTTACAGTATATCTCCTGTTCAGTTGATTTTGCAATATTTCACCATATTGAAGTGAACAGTGTTAAACTACACATCTCATGCAAGTGACAGAACAAAGTTAGTATATTTTTAATAAAAGCCATTTGAATTAGATACTGTATTTTTATAATGCAATTGTTTGTTTTAATTTTGAATTGATAACATGACATGAAATAGTATTTAAGTCAAATGTAAAATTAAGATGTTAAATTAGAAGATTAAGGATTTACAGTTTTATATTTTATTGCTTATTTTATTTAAAGTGATTCATTTAACTTATTAAGTGATGTATAGGGTGTCGAATTAATTCCATTTTAATCATCTGAAGGTTCAAATTTTATAGTATACAGTTTATAATTATACACTGAATATGTGTACTGTAACTGGTTGTTAATATTGTTAGATGCTCTTTTTAATGAGGATGAACTGTTTATGAAATTGACCACTGATTTATTTTAAGACTGCATTTCAATTTGTGTGTCAAAAACCATGTATTCAGAGCTTTAGTCTCAGAGCACATAAACAGTGTAAAATACAGAATCTTGAGAAAGGTCTATAAACTGGACTCCCCCTGTTCTCATTTACTTCTTCTGTCCTGTGTAGTTTGTTCCAGGGCCTCAGCCTGAAGTGGTTATCACCACTGAAGCAGTGCAAGAATATACTTTGTAAACATTTATTAGAAACAATCTTGGAATGGTAATACATTGTTATTTAGAGTGCACTTGGCAGCGACAATGAAAGTTTTACAGGTTTTAGAGATTACCAACTCTGAATGTATTTAGAAAAAAATGACCTATATTTTACAAGTACAATAAAATATTGTTTTACTTATTTTAAACTCAGGATGTAGGTGATAAATGCATTCATTAGTGAACAACACAAATAATCAGCATTTCATTGTTTTTTTTTTCTTGTATTTTATGTATTTTGTGTATTATCAGTTCAAAAAGATCTGATAAGATTATCTACTCTGGATTAACAATTTACACTTGCTTGTTTTATTTAGAGGTGACATAATTTCAACCATGATAGATTATTAAAACCTAACCTGTGGTAGTATTTTAGTTTTTAGGTTTTTACTGTAAGGTACAAAGAAAGGAGTCAGATATGATTTTCTAACCCAGGACACTGAAATAACTGGCCAATACTTCCTTACAGAACTACTATGAATTGGATCAAACCAAGGAAACTTCAACAGATAAAATGTTACACCTCCCTTTTGATCAGAAGGACCTATGCCTTACAGAAACAACTGCCAGTTTTAACCCTGTTTACAAAGGTAACACCTTATTCTTTCTTGATCTTTGTCTGTTAATGATTATGTGATTATAAGATTATTAACTCCATTAAATGCATTTAAAATGATATACTGTACAGTCTATCATTAAACCCATTTGTGAACACATAGTCTAAATACATTTGAATACTGTCTATAGTTTGTAGAGAGTGTAGTGTTGTACAATAAAAATGTGTGCTAAAAACATTTCCAAGTTCTTCTCATCACAGAGGGGTACACTATGAAGGTCTTCAGTGCAGTGTATTTGTGTTTTATGTTAAATTCAAGACCACATGCAGTATTTCTTTCTTTTTTTAGGATCCTTGTCCACTTTGTGATGAAGCAAAAGAAGTTCTTGACCCATTTAAGGATAGGGTATGTAACAATAAATTTGGCAATTGCAAATTTAAAATTCCAAACCATCAGACTCAATATATGCCCACTTAATAAAACAATTCTAAAATTAAGATGTAAAGACTGTTCACAGCTGAGAACTGTGACCTAGGAAAGCCTTGATTATAAAAATATCTACCTTAGGTAAAAAGACGTAATCCCTTTAGGATTAACAATGTTAATCAGCACACCTTTTGTGTCTACCCTTTTCAGACTTTTTTAGTTTCTCATGCCAGCTTTGGTGATTTTTGAAAAATTGTTTTAGTTTCATAATAAACTGCAAAATAGAGCAGCCCATTTCCTCATGGTATAATTTTCCTCAGAACTGGTGTAATTCCCTAACGTGGGTGAATGGATACATTTCTCATTAAATCATTAAAACATGGTTTTGAAAGTTGATGATTACAAGCAAACTATAAATAATCTTTTGGTTTATGTACAAATTCATTACATATTTCAGAAGCTTGGTTTTCCTTGAACCTGTTGAAACTTGTAATAGTAGAAGGCTGCTGTTAACCTGTGGAACCTGAACAAACATGGAGAACTTCTGAATGAGCAAACTGCTGCTGTTTTAATAGGGTGCTGGAAAAAGATTGATGGAACATTGTAGAGAATATGTGAGTTACCATCTCTTCAAGGAAGGGGATAAAATCTAATGATTGAGTGTCCATCACTACAGTACCTTTCAGAAGTAAGGGTACTTCTGAAAGGTTCTGTGAGGGAAAAAAAAAGAGTAAGCTTCATTCAATGGTGAAAAGATTACAAACAGCTGGTAGAGAAAAATGTTAGCTGCCCTAGCACGTGACACAATATTGAATTCCACATAAACAAACACTCATGAGGGGTGCACTTGGACATTTAGGTGAAAACTCCAAAGAAATCAAAGGTGTAAGGGACAGATACAATCGTGGTAAAACACTGGAGGTACAAGAGGAAGCAACAAATGAATACAGTACATTTGATTGTCTGAATGTTGTGAGGCACCTAAATTAAAACTCAGTGATAGATGAGGGTCTGGAGTTGTATTGCTGGTGCACAAATGGGAAACAAAGGAAAGGCAGTGTCATTGCCTCCCAACTCTAGGCTCTTTCCACTTCAGGGTCCTACAGTATTTGTATGGCCACTTCCCGAAGACATGCAGGTGGCTACTCTACATTTTCTGTTTCTGGAGACAGTGGGAGTTAATAGGGGACCTTATACTGTACCTGGGAGATAGGTTTATAGTGGGTTTGTTCCCAGGACATCTAGTATGGGCTGTAAGTCTATAAAGAAATAAAAGCAGTTAAGTACAGTGAGCAGAATGGTCTCCTCTCTATTTTGGCCTTTCTCATAGATGACATCTTCCGAATACAGTACCCTCAGGAAGGCAACTTGTGAATGAAGGTTTTTATCACACAACCTTACAGGCTGCGGTACTGAACCTAAATAATTTAGGAGGGAAAAGTTTCAAAATTAATGCTCTGGCAGCACCATTTGCCAGACTTCAGGTGCTATGTAAAATAATAATAATTAGTAATAATAGTCAAATTTCAATTAGTAGTTCTACACATTAATGATGTGAAATGTTATGGGATGAGCTGAAAAGGAAAATGAGAAAAGAACACTGTCCAAATGTGGTAGTTTGGGGAGGTGTAAATTTGAAAAGAATGATTGTAGGAAAATCTCAGATTTGTCTTTTCTCCTCTAATACTTCAGTAGATTTGTCAGGTAACCATCTGTTTTAAGTGCTTACATAAGTTAGCATATTTTTTCTTCTTTTTTTTAGTTTATTTTACAAGAGGTAGACATCACCCTACCGGAGAACAAAGTGTGGTTTGAGAGATACAAGTATGACATTCCCGTCTTTCATTTAAATGGGCAGTATCTGATGATGCACAGAGTTCACATGGACCTTCTTGAGAAGAAACTTGCAAGCATTGAACAAAGAAAACATCACAACTGACTTCGAGAATCTGGGTATATTTGTTGGTATAAGTTGGAGAAATGTGTTTTTAATTTCATGTAACTCATCGTTCAAGAGTCTTTTTCTCAACTTTTGACAGGGAAAATGTTTCTTGCAGAGAAAACTAACTTTTGAAAGCTGGACACGACAATAAAAGTGATTAAGCACAATAATTGACGTCTCACAAATGATTTTGCCTTGGGTGTTTGTATTTTATATTTGCAGAAGGTGTCATTCTGAGAAAAGAGAGAATATGACTATTACAGGTTCTTGAAAGTGATATATAATTTGAATTATTTTTGTATAGAAGGTTTCCCTAGACAAAGCGGGTTTTGGTCAATGCAAGCGATGGCACTTTACTACATTTCAACGTTATTATACTGACGGGGCCAAGGATCATTTTTTAAAATGGTATCAAATACGTACAGTATAATACTCAAGTTTTATACGTTACCATGTCTGTCATTATATTAAAATACAATGTTACTATTTTTTTATAGTCATTGTATTGCGTATTTAAAAGTAGTTTCAACTACTGTTAGCCACTAGGAGGTACAGTCACTTAGTCAACTGTATTACGAGACCGCCTTCTGCATTTTTTAATCCTTACTGGTGGTATATTTTTCGCATGCATTATAGTGATTGGTGTTTGTTAACGTCAGTCATTTGACACTGCCCAGTGTTCAGGGAGGCAGTAACAGCTGGCTTGCGAATGAATCGAGAAGTTAAGAGTGCAGAGGTGGAAACGCTGGGCTCGCTGTACTTTCGGGAGTCATTGAAAAATTGTATTCTTGTGCTTTCTTACGTCTTATTATCACCTCTACTAGAAACAAGGAAAAGACTGTTCTGATCAACCCCGCGAGTGGATTAATCGTCAGGGTAAGCTGCAGTGTTTGCAATTGTGATCGTCATTTCATGTGGGATACATGTTATATTAAAATGAATATGAATTACATTCTTTGTGTTGAGTGGGCTTTACATTTTTAACGGCGCGTGTTCCGGTGGTTTCATCTTTAAATTGAAGGCTTATATAGGTAAGAGTTAAAAATGACTATACTGTATAGAATCTCGGCAATGCGGTCAAGATCTTAATAATCATATTCCAGAGCAGAACAGACCATGCATACCAACAGCAACCTGATGTGTCCCGATGTGTACAGTACAGTATGTGTTTTCGTCCGTCACTCTACCCCTGCTATCCTAGAATGATCAGCTTTTCTTGGCAGCCCGGATTCTAGCGTTTTTGTATCTGAAAGTTTTCAAACTTGGAGAAAAGCGGCGATGTTATTCTGACCTTTTTTGTTTTTAGAATTGTGTTACTTTCAACAAATTCTGAAAAGATGTTACTGCTCAAAACATAAATAAGACTTGCGGTAATTTCTTTCTCTTCTCGAGAAGAAAGAATTGAACTTGGATAGCTGTCATGTTCGAAGAGACAGAAGTTCAGTCTTTTCCTCTTTCGTTCTCGTTGTTAAAATGTTATGTGTCAATTTTATGGATACAATTATAATAAGAGAAAACCATTGCTCGACAAGTCTTACATGACGATTGGATTACAGTATAAAGTAATGCCCAACTCTTCACCGCCCCCCCGCAGGTTTTGACAGACAAATTGAGTTATTTTACAGTAGAACATCTTATTATTTTTTTTGCGTATATTATATGGTATAATGGGAGTTACTGATAGTCTTTAGTAAAAAATGTCGAGGACAATATCCAGGAATGCATGTTTAATATACAAGAAATGCTACTGTGTTCAGTTAGTGTATTTTCTTGAACATATAGCATATGTTTGATGGTTTTCCTGGTGGTTTAGCCTTACTGCTAAACTGCACTTTTAGCAAAGAACATAATCAAACTTCAGTTGCATAGCAGTGTAATCTTACTGATCTCAGTCTTAGGAGCTGCAGGGTCTCTTGCAAATTGCAATGTACAATATGTTTCCTTCTTCGAGACAGGCCTGTAAATGGTATATAGATGTTACATATAATGGTTTGCTTTATTTTACAGAAATGAAATGCAAAATAGAAATAGATACCTGACAAGATACTGTAGGTCTTTTTGGCTTTCTACAGTATACTGTATATGTTGCAATCCATTTTAATTACATCTTTCTTTTCTTTATTTCTTACACCTAACTATTAAGAAGGTTAAATGTAAGTACATATATTTAAAATGCCTGCATTACTCAGACTTAGCGTTCAGAAAAAAAAACTAGGTTTTAACAAGTCTTGTGTGAACATTACAGTATATAGTTGTGTAATGATGTGTCTTGGTGCAAAACTAATTAGCCAGTTTTCCTAAATCCAAGTGTTTAAAATAAGGTGTGCTAAGGAGCTATTACATAACTACTGTACATCCTCCTTAAATATGGGGCTGTCTAGAAAGAATGAACCAAAAATTTTAAAATGCAAGAATATCTCTATCTTGAATAACATTTAAAATTAAGCTTTCACCCACACGATTGGCCAACTTACTGAATGACAGCACAGCGTTAGATGTTCTTAAGATTTGCATATAACAGAGCTGTGGTATTAGAAGAGAATGGATGTCCAATCTAGGTCCCAGAGAGGCAGTGTATCTGTACATTTTTGTTCCAACTCAGTGTTTAATGACCTGTATTAGCCCGGTATTAACTCAACTGGATTGACCTTTCAGTATGGCCCAGCCCTTAAATTGTTGGTACATTAGAAAACCTGTGGACACAACATCCCTCAAGGTCCAGTATTAGACACTTTTTAGAAACAACTGTTAATGGCCTGTATAGTATAAAGAATATTGTGTGAGTTTATAGTTTGTATTTAGTATAATAGCCCATCTGGTTTGCTCAGTCTCATTCCTTCAGATCTTTCATGTGATGGCTGGATGAGATTCCTAGATCTATTTACTACTAGTAAGCAAGCAAACAAGCAAGATGGGCTGAATGGCCTTTTCTCATTGTTAACCTGTATTGGATTCATATGTTCAATTTAATTTCCCGTGAACTCCACGAGTTTAAAGTTCAAATAAATGATACAAAGATGTATAAACGATACAACCAGATGTTCACATTCAACTCCTTTCAGCCACTATTGACAAAGTTCAGCCTTTGCTTGTGAGCTTATTTATAACTTTTGTAATTGTCCGCAGATTTCGCTCAAGTTGAGAAACATGCATGTATCAGTAAGTGCGTGTATATAAATGATGCTGTATTGTAAGATCTATGGACAGGTTTTTGGTTTGAAATATAGTTTTCCTAACAAAGTAGGGGAAAGCAATAAAATTTATAGGACTTGGCAGGTGTGAGAGTTACATCCCAAGGTCACAATTCTGCATCTGAACATCCTGTGTTAATGAATTGGCCAAGCTGTTGAACATGATATATGCCTCTACTGCTGTTTGTAATTGCATCAGGCAGCAGCGCTATCCATAGCACCACTATATCCCCAATTGAAATATTTCAATGCATAAATATGACATTATCTAACAAATGTATTTACCTCTTCACTTTGCCAAAGACATATTTTGCGTGATGGCAGGCACTGCTGTTGGCACATGAGTTCACTTCCAGGCTGAGTCACTCTGGTCTTATTGTTGTCCACTCAGTTTTAAATGTACAGTTGCACCTTGCAGTAATATGCACCTGTATATTACTATTTGACTTTTGACAACATCAGACTGGCTTTGCCCATGAGCATAAACGTCTATTCGGTCCTGTCATCCACCCATTTTCTAACCACTAAATCCAATAGAGGGTCACTGGGGGAGCTGTCCCCTTGGAACATTTGATAGTAGCCATATTACACGTTCATGTATATGATAGGGTGTGTCTGTTGCTGGACATGTATACATGTCCAGCAACAGACACACCCTCAGTCCTATCATGCCCTTTCAAAATCTAAAGTGCACTGGTTGGGGCAGTCCTGGGGTTTTTGAAGGGATGGGGCACCCTCTAAATATCAACCACAATTTTGAGTTTAAACATAGCTCTTTGATCTTCCACTGTATGTGAGAGAATGCTGGGTAAAGCATTCAGAGCCAGTCCGAACGCATATAGTAACATCCAGATGCTTATGTTGTGTGTAGTGTTAGATTCATGTAGGCCTTCATTTCTGATCATTCACATTTGATAGTAGCCATATTACGTGTTCATGTATATGATATTTTTCACAGCATGTTTTTTCTGATAAGTAATCTGTTTTATTTCTGAAAAACCGTTTTAACCAGAAGAATTTGGTAAAGAGTACATTTTCAGTAGTCCACAGCTAAAATAATGTCTAATCGCCAGGATTTAGTTCAACATCTGTTCCAAGGGGCTGTTTGAATATTGCAAATGCTTCTATCTGCTTTGCACTCTTTGCATTTTTTAACAGCTGTTGTGCCCTTCAGCTGTTGTTTTTTTCGCAAGATGTCAATTCTTGAGCTGCTTATCCTTGTTCCTTGTTAAATGTGATGACAAATTGAGAAGAGATTCTTGGTCTGCTTTTAGACTCTGCACAACTGAAAAGAAAGGCATTTTAATTGCTTGTATTATCACTCTCGTGTCCCTATAAACAATCTCTTTAGGTCATTGTCTACTTTCTGCTTCAAAAGCGCATGCCAGTGACCTTACCAAGAATGATGTAGCTAACAGAATTTCTTGACAGAAGAAAGGTCACTTAGAATGAATGCAGCTTAAGCCACTGAGATAGACTAAGAAACCTTGAACTGCCACAAAGATGAAATAAAGAAGACACTTCACTGTAACATGCTGGTATAAAAATAGGTGATGTCATGAAAGGTGATAGACAGTTTAATAAGGATTCATTTCAGAGTCAAATTCCGAACATGAAACCTGGTGTGTCAACTTTGCACTTGGTCATAAATAAGTTGCTATATGTTTCATTGTTGTGCTAAAAGTGTGAAACTGGATGTCTTGTTTTCATCCTCTAGATCTGAAATACATACAAAGTACACATATCAAAAACCTCTGGGTTCTGTTTTTTTTAGAATTCAAGCCTATTTTTCTCAATGCACCACTGAATCACACTTATTTGTTGAATATGTACAAAAGTTGTTGAATATGTACATTATATTTAAAATATGCCCTCTGATGAACTGGCATCCCATCCAGGGTATATCCTGCCTTGTACCTTTTACTGTATGTGCCAGGTTAGGCACAAGGTCATGAATAAGGAGGATTATGGATAAATTGATTTTTTACCAAAATAAACATAGCTATGAAATGATCTAAGAATTTCTAAAGCAAATGTTACATGACGTTAAACATTATGATAAGCATTTCTTAATGCTGTTTCTGTGTAACTTACATTGTAATTGAAATGGTTCTAGCCACACAGTTTCTACAGTTTATGAGTAAAATGTAACTCTTCTCACAGTCCCTCCAGTGAGACTTTGTTCAACATCCTTTGGTTTTCATAATTTGTAAGCTACATACTGCAAAAAGGTGAACCATCTGATTTTGAAAATGATTTCCCTTTGGTCCAGGTAGACAGTGAAATATGTGTAAACTCTCATTCACAAAGGACATTTTGAACAACACAGCACTTGCAAACAGGGGCTTTACCCCTTTAATATACATTCCCCTTTTTTACTGCTATGTGGCTTGCTCCAGTTCCTTTGTGAATTTGTCATAATACAGTAAGACAAGGAAAATGAAATAACATTGTAGTTAGCATTGCTTCATTTTCCAGGTGGATGCTGCACATTGGTGGTGGTGGAGGGGAGTCTCCATTACTTGTAAAGCGCTTTGAGTGGATTGTACAGAAAAGCGCTATATAAGTGTAAGCAACAATTTATTATTATTATTATTATTATTATTATTATTATTATTATAATAATTATTATTATTATTATTATTATTTTGGTTCATGGATCCTAGGGTCGATTTAAGACTAGGAAAGAAAAGGTTTGTGTGAGGTTTGTCTCGAAAGTCTCCTGTACGTCTGCACATTTGTGTGTATCTCTTGATGAACTGGTGTCCCAGCTAGAGTTTAGTTCCACCATGTGTCTTATGCTTTCAGGACAGCCCTTACCAAGAATACGTGGCTGTCAGTTAAAAGATGGACATAATTCATACACAAATGCATGTCAATAAACATCAAAACATTTCTATATAAGAACATAAGAAAGGTTACAAACAAAAAGAAGCCATTAACCTATCCATCTCATTGGTAGTTAATGGATGGAGCAAAGTACAGTGGAAAACCTGAATCTGTCTGCTAAAACTGAGATGAACATTTACCTTCCAGCAGGAGAATAAAACAGTAGAGTAGTTTAAGAATAAAAAAGTGAATGTCCTTGAGTATCCCAGTCAAAGTCCTTACTTAAATCCCGTTAAGGATTTAATCTGTGGAAAGACTTGAAAACAGCTATCTGTAAATGATCCCCAGGCAACAAGGAAAAGCTTAAGTAAGCCTTTCAAAAGAATTGGCACAAAATGCATCAGGCTGGTATGCATACAGTAGGTGGTAGAGACATAGCAGAAAAGAACTGCAGATATAATTGCTTCCAAAGGTGCTTCCGCCAAATAATGAGTTCACAGGACTGAATGCTTACAGTATACAACGTGTTTTTTTTCTTTTGTTTTTGTTGACATTTATTGTAACTGAGTTTCAGAGCTCTTCAGTCCGAGCATTCAGCTTTTGAATAAAACATTGAATTTAAAAATGTGCATGCGTCATCTTGTAAGGTCTGAATACATTTGCAAGGCACTGTATGTTATCTACTATGTGACATCTGTCAATCACCCTACCATTTTGTTACATCAGAAGGATATTATGGTGTCATCTTAAAGAGACTCACACCCATGCTGCCTTGTACCCCAGTGGTTGCTTTGGTGCAGTTAAGTATTTGGACTCTCCATCATTATACACACCCGGCATTCACTGCTGTATTTTATCCCTGCTGTCACCAGAAACTACATAATAGGCCTTATCTTCTTTTTTAGTGAGATTCATGTTTTTAGGGAGATAGTAGCACTAGTAGTTGTTCTGCTACTGCTAAATCAAAAACAGAAAATCAAGGATATACTTTTTAAAGCTGTAAAAAAGTTTCTAATGAGCCAATAAGCAGATTGCTTTAACTCTTGCTTAAAAACACCTCATTCTAGAAATCTTGTAAACCTCCCTTTTAGATAAAGGAGGTTTCTAAGACTACCCTTAACTAATTAAATATTTATGCTCTTATTACTTTAATGTGCTGAGAAGGACATGGATGTTTTATTTGCTCTAAAGTTACTATAGGCCCATTAAGAAATTATGTAGGACCTAGGATAGACAGTTAACTGTCTACTGAAATTTGTATGGATGTTGAACTAAAGTGTTAAGTACAACAATTTTATATGCTATTGTGTGATGTTCAATGAGGTAATGTTTAATGCTGAAGTCTAATAATAGACTGTAAGGTACCATGGGAAACCTAGATAAGAAGAATGTGAGTAATCTTTGTGGATCCTACCAAGAAATGATAGCATTTGCTTTGGTTAATCATAATTGTGTCTGATTTACATCTGGGAAGTTGTAACAATTTTTTTCTTTAATTGTTATTTTGTAATAAATATTTTGGAATCAAGATCCTTGTAAACAGATGCATTACTTGAAGTGAACATTCTGAGTAGTCCCTTTCTAAAGAAATGGTAAAGCTTATGGACTGCCTGTTCTCAAGTACTAATGTCAAAGATAATTATATAGAACACTGTAAGAAAAAGACTTCCTCCTGGCTAAGAAATAGAAACTAAATTATGGGTAATTAAAAATACTTGGTAATCTAATGCAAGGAGAGCTATAATCATCCTTGTTATATAGTACCTAAATTGTGGTATAGATAAAAATTGTGGGATAGATAATCTCTAGTATTATATTTATGAATGTTCTACATTATATGGACAGAAACTCATTTAAATGAGGTCTGTACTTCTTTATTCACCCTTTAGTCCAAAGCTGTATCAACAACTGATATTCAATGTCTTCCACATTCCAGACACCGGCTACAATGTTATTCGGTGTTCAGACCTGTTAAGGATTTAAATTCTGAACTGCGCTCTGAACTGCACTGAAGTTCGGAAATCATTGGGTGAAAGACTCATTGCAAAAAAAAAAACAGGTGTATAGTGCATCAAAAGGGTCATATTTATGAAGGGCACATTAAATGATGAAGAGTACTGTACATGCAGCTGTAAACAAGTGAATATTAAAGCTGCCACATTACAGTAAAGTTGTTTGGGAAGTTATAGAGTTTAGAAGGCAACTTAGGTTTGCTTCTCATTTTTTTTATTTGTCTTTAAGAAATTAGGCTTGAAAAGGGAATTTGAATGTTCCTATTTGGTGTTCGATAATCAATAATGTTTGATGATTTATTATTAGAAATGATTAGTCATTTATAGGTTCCCTGGCCATACACTGATAAAATATGGGCAATCTCTTCCACAGCCGGTGACACGTTTCTTGTAAACCGGAGGGAAATCCAAAAGTTATATCCAGGTGATCCTTGAGAACCACTGTAAACTGAACAACTTCAGCAAACCTCAGGAAGAAAAGGTTAAATGTCTATGTTTTTTATAACCAGCTACTCTTGGAGCTTTATGTTTCCCTGTTGGCAGTAACAGAATATAACAGAACATAGGATTTCCATTGTGATGAGTAAGAACACAAACTGCATTCTGACCCATTTAGTGTTTTATGAATCCTGATATGCACCAAGAATACCCTAAAGCTGCATGTCTTTGACAGAAAAGAACACATAGTAAAGTGCAATTAACTTTCTCTGTTCCTTGTGCTGTGTTGTTTGATTAATGCTGTTATTTATGTGTCTGGGTCTAGTTTGAGAAGCATGCATTAGTACTCAGGGCAGACCTTGGTTGAATGTATCTCAGCCAAATTTACTGTGGTTTGTCTACCTCTTTAATATCTGTTGAAACTTATCTAAGTAGTCTTGTAGTTTGCTTTAGTACTGACTCCCTGAGCAAGTTCTGCTTTTTAAGTGAAAGAAAAACCCACTCACGTTTCATATTTTGTCTTAGGAAGTCAGTATATTTGAGCTAGACCTGCCCATTTCCAGGTTCCTTCAGGTCTACCTTTGCTTTCCTCTCTGGCCTGAAAAAAGCCTCATTTCAAAAGACTGCTCTATTATTCTTTTTTCTGTTTAGCATTGCCAGCATTACCCGTGACTGGGATTTTGAGGCTGTGTTTTTCTCATTTCAGAAAACAAAAACAGATTGAAAATTTAGGTCACCGAATTCCAGCATCTCAGAGGATCTAGAAGGGTTTCAGCTTGAAATCTACAATCATTTGTTAGGCCTCCCCCCTTCTTAATTTAACCACTAACCAAAAGTGCACTTACAGGAATAGAAACAAACAGTGTTGTGCTCTACTGGGAGTGGTAGGAATCTTGGACTAAAAATGTACTTTTTCAGAATGCCTTCCATCATTTGCTTTACCAGTCTTTTTATATTTTGCCTTTTTCTTGAAGCAAATCAACAAAACTAAGTGATAGTTCCATTTTTAAAACAAAATGTAAAGTGTGCTATTGTGGCATTAAACAATCACTTGTATTCTCCTCACTTTGGGACTGTCCCTTAACTTCTCATTTGACAGTTGTGTCTTCCCACAGATTTGCTTTTAGGCACACTCACTTTATGGATTGCTTGTCCTTTTTTCACTTCACTTACAGGTATCCTTATTTTTCACTTCACTGAAGCATCACAGTGCAGTCTTAAGCTGCAGTTTTATTCTTTATGGAAACATTGATGCTTTTTGTGCGTAAACTTGTTGTACTCCTTGCATGGATTTGTTTCCATGTTCTGCTTCTGTGTATACACATCAAAGTGAAAAATATAATACCACATTAATTCTTTTGCTTTCTGGTTTCCACGTAGCAAGAGAAGAATGGAGCAGAAGCCTTTTAGTGGTTATATTTAAAAAGTGTAGTAGGTTACTAAAATATGAAATTTACATAACAAGTCTCTGTATTTCTGGAATATTTCACAAGGGAGATAAACGTTGTACAGAAAGTACCAGGATGTACATTCTAATGTGTATACCAACACCATTAAGCTTTTTTTGAATTACCAGAGCAGTTGCCTTTGAATTGTGGGTTTAAATGTAATTCAAAAAGGTGCACTACCAAACTGCCATCTGTTTAACTGGAAAGGGACAAATTCTCAGAACATACGTAACTCACCAATTGGCTCATTGACTCTTTAACATGCAGACTTTAACTGAAAGACTTTAAGTGTTCTGAAAGAGTTTAATCAGAGTTGTTGATAATACAGCTACAACCAGATATGAAGTTAGACTGTATTTGTATCTTTACAAAACATGCCCAACATCATTTTAAGTTATAGTTATGTATCTAGCAAGATGTATATAGATATAATATCAATACATAGAAACATTTTCAATTTGTAGCAAAACAGAATTATGAGGCACAAATGACTACTTTCAAAGCATTTTTCATCTGTGCAAAATTTACTTCATTTTTTCTGCTCTCAAAAATGAGCACATTAGCAAACAAGTTTGTTTGTACCCAGTGCAAAAGTTTAAATGGATCCAGTAAACAAATTCCAGACCACTGGGTTCAAATAGAAAGATTAAGTGGCCAGAACACGCATGTTGTCAGGCTGATCAATCCAGATAAATATTCTTAATATGCAAACACAAAAATGTTGTGTCTTTGCATTATTTTTTGTAAAAGCTGTACTTTGATCTCCAAAATCTACAGTATTTATGTAAGGTGACTTGCTAAAGGAGTGCATATACAGTACAGTAAAAGAGCAGAATATTTAAATCAATCGCATCACACCCGATAAACAGAGAAAGCAATGACAGGAAAGGAGGCATGTTGAAAGCTGTAGCTCCCATGGGATTGCTGCTGTGCACTGACGCTTTTATTATGTGGATGTCTTGAATGTGTGTTTTATTTCATGTACAGTGGATATATTAAGGGACATTAGAGCAGGTGGGCATGAAGATAAAGAATTAATTTCCCCCTGCTTAATCATTTTCAAGGAACACAGAGCAGCTATGCTGTCCACACACCAGGACGTCCAGTGCTACAACAATGTTGGGACTGAGAGCTTTTCAAGCTGTGAATAATTCTGCTGAGGTATGCAGCCATGTGGGACGGGAAAACATCCAGTGCTTTCAGGGACAGCCTTGGGAAATCCACAGCATTTGACTGTGAGATCAGAAGGAGAAGGAGCTGCTGTCTGGGTGGGGCGGTGGGGGGTTGAAATTTAGGGGAATTAAATTAGTTACAAACTATTTAGCCAATTTTAATTTCTTATAATGAATTTGACTTTATGTTTACACATGTACTTGGTCATGTACACAGTGGACTTTCACATGCAGGAATGTCATGCTTTGTTTATTTTTGTTACTGTTGGCCCAGGTGCAAGTGAATGAAAATATTAATCATGGAGAGCACAGATTAAAATAATATTGACTGGTTCTACTTTGGAAACTACTCAGGCACTGCAATACAATCAGCCTGCCTGATCTGATCTGATTAAAATGCCATGGCAGCTGGAGACAGAGAAAAAGCAAGTCTAGGATTTTTGATGGAAAGTATCCCCTTTGTGCCAGATTGAGATTTTGGATTGGTGCCCAGTGAGTATTCAGTCTGATGGATGGACATGCAGAAACTGTGATGACTGTCTTTGTTTTTGTCCCTAAACAGGCATTCACTTTTGTCGTCAGTTGAATACCTCAGCAGAACGAAGTAGAAACCATTGAGAGTAAATTTCAAAATACAAGGCTGTCTGCATAAGGCCCTGCTTTAATACCATAGAATGAGGCAAGTGTACATAAAACTTAAAGGATCAGAAGACACCTTGTCTTCTCTTTTCTTCAATTTGAAATGCCACCATGTGTCATTTTAAATCCGCTGAGTTTCAAAGTCTTAGTCAGATTGTTTGTCTTTTTTTAGAGTGCATAGCTGTATGAATAAAAAAACATGCTTCTACACCAAGGGTAATCCCATCGTAACCTGTATGAGCAATCTAGGACACATTTTCAAACTTTTTGCTTGACTTACAGATATTTACAAGAAGAAACAACTTAAAAACAAGGCTGTCATCCCACACAATTTAACAATCATAATATACTGTATGTCTGTCAGCTTTTGTAGTTTGACAGTATTTTCTATGGTTACGTGATTAAAATTTGCCTTATACTTTGCTCAGAATAATATATGGGGATTCCCACCTACATTCATTTATTTTTAGTTCACTTTAATCAAAAATTGCTGAAGCGTGTCCCACTCAGCTTCAACATTTAATTTGTCCATGCAATTTAGAAAACAGTTTATATAAACTTTTGTGTCACACTGTATATGGAATTTGTATATCTTAACAAGGTTAAGTACAAGGTTGTACATTTTTTACGTTTATTATTGCTGGATAGCTTTTTCCATACTATTACCTTTTTTTAGTAAAAAAGATCTCAGATCTAAATGTACTAACCTTTTGTCTGTAAGTAATTTTGAGAAAAGGTTTGGGATTTTTAAATTTAATTTAATACAATATGAATGTGCTTATTTCAAAATTTGTGTTCTCTGGTTTGTGTTTTACTGTTGATAATAATTGATCCTGATATTATGTTCTTATTACACAAAGAGTCATGGGAGTATGGAACAAGCTACACAGCCATGTTGTTTGAAGTTAATACCCTATCTTCTTTCAGAAAATGATTGGAATGAGATTGTCAGATCCATATACTATCTACAAAATATTATCTCTTCTTTGCAAGAATTCCTTTGTTTTTATATTCTTTTGTAAATGTTTCATGTTTTAATGGTTTCTTTTTATATGTCATTACAAAATTTGTATGAACTATATATGCAAACATCTTCAACAAGTATTTTCCTGCTTTAGCTTATACTCAGAAATAAACCATGTTTACAGACAGATGCTTCACATTCATTTTGGGGTCAGAGAAACTGCTGGAACCGCTGTTTAACTGTCTTCTGTAGTTCAAAACAGCTGATTCCCATGAATTAACCTGGCTTAAATACACTACAGTAGATCAGTACTGTCACTGTCACTTTTTATATGTGTTTAATTGAAATGATGTTGCAGAAACATGAATGCTTGCAATAAACTATAAAGACAGAAATTTTGTAGAGCAAAGTTGTAATGTAACAGCACATCCCATTTTAAATGTGAAGATTTGCTGAAAGGCAGAAGCTATGTCTGTCACAGGGTGGGGATTTGACTATTTTAAGTGTCAGTGGTCTCTTTCCCACAGTTTCTCAAGAATGAGAATGCTGGGGAGGGTGACGTTAGATGGGAAAAGCAATCCACAGTTCCTGTCATAGGGTCCAGTAATCAACTGTATGATTCATGAAGTAACATATCCATGGGGAATTATAAATCAGAGTTTCAATTTTCAGTTTCTGTGACCAACTACGATTGCCAGCATTGCAAACAAAAATGAAGACAGCCTTTTGCCTTTTGCCATCACAAAAATGTTATACAGTAACAGTGTACAGAAATAGTACTGGACTAACATTTCACGTTTTCTAGCAACATTTTTCAATA